TAAGTGTATTTTGTACACTTATTCGGGGTCTAAAATAGCGATATTTGATAGTTCTTTAGACAAAATATATCCTAAAGTGTTGTATTTTATGTTATACGGGTAAAACTCAATGGTTGGATGAGGAATTGAAAGAAACGAAAACTGGTAAAAAAGTGCAAAATTCAAAGTTTGGAGATCAAATTGCAAATATTCAATAGTTCATTCGGACCAAAAGATGAGTCGGAAGATTTTTAGGAGACAATTGGATAGAATTTGAATTCAAAAAGGAATGGAATATGATCAAAATATTATCACAATCAATTTTCAATCGCACAAGTTATATTCCAGATTTTTAGTTGAATATTGAGACCTATTTTTGGCATAGTAAACGTTCGAATTTGAAAAAATTCTAATTCTATCAAAGTTGTAGCCCTTCGAGTTTTCTTTCCAACGCACTTTGAATCGCTTCAATTGGATATCAGAAGAGAAAGTTATGGCCAAAATACTAATTATTGTGCAGAGACAAAAAATTCGCGCGCGAATGCAACTTTCCTCATACGATTGGAACTCTTTTGGAACCCAATTTGGACGTAATTTTCCACCAATTTTTTTGACTCCTACAAATACCTAACAGCAAAACACATATGGGGAACCTCTCATAGACATAATATACTCCAATATTCATCAATTATTATCATCAAAAGAGGAGAATTCATAATTTTTGTGAGAGAATTGAAGGAGACTTGCAAGAATTCAATCAAGTGAAGATTCAAACTTGATTTTTGGGCAAAGAAGAGAAGACGCAAGTGGTGATTCATCAAGAAACCATTGAAGAGATTAAAGATTTCAAGATTCATCTTCTCAATTTATCAAAATCCGAATGATGTCATTTCACTTAAATATTATTTCTTATAATTTCAATATATTAAGCTTAGTTTATATATTGTAAGGATGAGATGAACCCTTGTTATTATATTTTTAGTTTTTAATTAATTATTTTAACTTTAATTTGATTTGATCTGTGTATGTTTATTATCGTTTTTATCATTTTTTTTTATTTCTT